TAGGTCACCTTGGAAACCTTGAGGGACCCGACAAGGGACCTATAGTAAGGCCGCAGACAGGTTCTTCCTCTGTTAGCTCTGAGGTAGAACAGTTATTCTCATTTTTATGTCTTTCACATGGCCAGGACTTTGCAAATCAGGGACAAAGTGAATTCAGAATTAAAAATTTTCAGCACCATCCAAGCTAGTAAAACAGTATTAGCTTACATCCTTTATTTTCACCGTAAGCTGCCAGAAAGAGGCTGGTTAACCAACAGCACTCAAAACAGCACACCCACCTGTCTGCTGACTGTCCCATCCGGAAATTGTGTAGGTCCTTAGGTGAATCTTACCTTCTTCCCTTCCCCTAGCCAGACCCCATCCCAGCTGGCACGAGGAATCCTTTCCCTTTCCCCCCCGTCTGTAGACCAGCAGGCAAAGAGAGCAGTTACCATACTGGAAGGAGAAACGGGTCCTGGTCGTCGTGAGGAGGTGGGGCTGCTGCTTAACAGAGGCAGAGAGGGACATGTCTGATGCTCAGGTGATCCACTAAGACATCTCGGAATACTCCCATGCCCAGCTGTAACTATGATGGCCAAGTCCAAGAACCATAGCCTGATAAGAGTCTAGGACCCTCACTCTACATGCCACCAGCAGAAGTGCCAGATGGGGAGAGGGGTGTCTAGAATGAGTAAGAGGGAGAGAATGGCTACAAGGCACAGCCAAGGACCAACTGCAGCAGCAGGTGGCAGCCACAGATCGAGTTAAGTAGGATTCTTGCTGTGTTCCCTAGTGGAAGTGTCTCCCTTGTCGAGACCCACTGAGGTTAAAGTTGGAGACATGAGGAGAAAAAAGTGTCCCCATGTGCATCATTGGAGTCATCATGGGCAAGATCACAACTCATTTGACTTCTTGACTCCAGATTCATATACTCTGCCTCCTGGGGGCATGACACCATAAAACAGCCATTGGTTCAGTTGTATGCTGCATCCTGAGGGACAGCACTCCATCCCCGCAGTGCCACATCCAAACTCCCGCCCCACCTCACTTTCAAGAGGCTGTCCCACTACTATCAGGCTGCCAGCTTCAGAATGCGAGGGTAAGACTGTGTCCTGTGATCACATGTCCATAGCTGATTCTCTTTTGCCATACTGAGTCCCCTGATCAAAGCAATGTTATACAGCTGGGCGCGGTGGCTCACGCCTGTGATCCCAGCACTTTGGGAGGTTGAGGTGGATGGATCACTGGAGGTCAGGAGTTCAAGACCAGCCTGGTCAACATGGTGAAACCCTGTCTTCTCTACTAAAAATACAAAAATTAGCTGGGTGTGGTGGCATGAGCCTGTAATCTCAGCTACTCAGAAAGGTGAGGCAGGAGAATAGCTTGAACCCAGGAGGTGGAGGTTGCAGTGATCCCTGACGGCGCCATTGCACTCCAACTCCAGCGACAAGAGTGAAACTCTATCTCAAAAAAAAAAGTAACGCTATATGGTTGGTCACACACTGTACTTTCTAGCTTGAAGGGGTCAGATAAAATCAACTTGTCTCCTCAAGAGACAGTACCAAACTGGGGGCTCAGCACTGACCTCTGCTGGCAAGTTGGACATTTAACAGTGGTAGCGGTAGCAGCTAGCGCAGTCTTGAAGACATGGAGCCCTCGCTGCTGGGGCCGAGCACAGGTTCAATTCTACTACCAAGGCTTCTCCATTTCCGAGCCCGTGGTGCAGGCACTGGGGTGCCTAAGAGGAAGTGGACTAACTGGACTTCTGCTATGCACCTTCTTTAGTGGGCATTAAAGCACAGTTCAAAGACTCTCACATTTTGAGTTCACCCCCACAGGCCTGTGTGCCCCTTCTCTAGTCAGGTCATGTTGTCATTTGATCCTAGTGGTTGTTCTGGAACGGTTCAGGAAGGGAGGTGGAGACAGATCTTGAGAAGGGCAAACGTTGCCTTGTATGCCTCATCTGAGGCTTCTGCACAGTCTTAGGGGACAGGGTGAATCTCAGCTTCTCCCTTTCCCCTAGCCAGGCCCTAGCCCTACTGGCATGAGGAATCCTATCTCTTTGTCCTCATGCCAGGAGACCAACAGGCAAAGAGAGCAGTTACCACACTGGAAGGAGAAATGGGTCCTGGTCATCAGGAGGAGGTACTGCTTAAGGGACAGGACCCAAGGGAGACAGTTCCACTAGGGAGCACAGCAAGAATCCTACTTAACTAAATCTATGGCTGCCACCTGCTGCTACAGTTGGTCCTTGGCTGTACTTTGTAGTATAAGGCGGAGTAGGCCACTGCTGCCAGCCCGGGAGGTCAAGGGCATTTACCCAGATGTCCTCATTCCCAGTTTTTTGGTCCCTTATCTTCCCTCAGGATCTGACTTTGCCTGCTCATCTACTGGCACTAGGAGTCCAAAATGTCCAGATGGCAGACTTGCCTAGGCTGAGCATTTTTCCTTCTCTCAAATTCTGCCACTTTTACCAGCCCAGTCTGCCTCTGTTGTAGGAGATGAGAGGCTAAATGTTGGCAGGGAGGCCCCCTGATTCTGATCCTGTGTTTTAAATTGGTAATTAGTCTGACCCTGTTACTTTCTCTCTTCAGTGCATCAACGGGAGGCTCTTAGCAACAGCCTCCCAACTCTACCTTCCTGATAGATAATATTTTCCTCAAAGCTCTCAAATGTTAGAGACATTGCACCAGCTGGCATATCCCCATCCACCTGTATCTGATCCCAGGTCACCACAGATGAAGGTCTGAGCAATTGAACTGATACAGCAGGCCAAGGCCCCAGGACTCTCAACACTCCACTTAACACCAATAATGAGGTCCTCGTGTCCATTTGGACTGCAGTAAGCCAACACCAGAATCCCATCCATTCTGGGACCCCTCCTGGTACTAACGGTCTTCAGTCAGGTTCCCCAGAAGCAGACTATGCAAGTGTGTTATTGACAAAGGGCTTTCAGATGAAACCTGGAAGACAGTGAGGCCAAAGCTAGGGCAGGGAAGAAGCCAGGCACAGACGTGGGCTTAGCGGAAGTCTAGCATCAGCCGGATCCCCTGGGCAGTGCTGGAGCATGGATGGCACCGCAGGTTACCATCTTGAGACAGAAGGACTGGCTTCTGTACCCTGAATCAGTAAGCATTGGTGGGCCATAAGCCACCCTTAGGGGAGGACATAACCTCACAGGTATTTCCTGGCTGGACAACCCTGGGCAGCGGAGGGCAACTGTCTGGAGGGCACGGCTGTGAGCCATTGTCAGCTAACCTCATAGCAGCGGAGACATGGGGCCAGCAGCCTGTAAAGAGGGTCTGGGCAGGCTGTCAGTACTCTCTACTATAATACTGTATATGTGGTTTATTTTAAAAACTTTTTTAGAAGACTTTATTTATTTTATTTTTTGAGAAGGAGTTTCACCCTTGTTGCCCAGGCTGGAGTGCAATGGTGCGATCTTGACTCACCACAACCTCTGCCTCCTGGGTTCAAGCGATTCTCCTGCCACAGTCTCCCGAGTTGATGAGATTAAGGCATGTGTCACCATGCCCAGCTAATTTTGTGTATTTTTAGTTTCATCATGTTGGCCAGGCTGGTCTTCAACTCCTGACCTCAGGTGATCTGCCCACCTCGGCCTCCCAAAGTGCTGGGATTACAGGCGTGAGCCACCACACCCAACTGACTTTATTTTTTTAGAGCAGTTTTAGGTTCACAGAAAAACTGAGAGGAAGGTACGAAGATTTCCCATATATCCCCTGTGCTCACACATGCATGGCCTCCCTGACTATCACCATGCCCCACCAGAGAGGCACATTTGTTACAATGGATGAATCTATACCCTGAATATATCATATTCACCCAAAGTCTGTAGCTCACATCATGGTTCACTCTGGGGTGTTGTACATTCCTTGGGTTTGGACAAATTTATAATGACATGTACAGTAGTCCCCCTTTATCCTCAGGGACTACTTCCAAGATCCCCAGTGGATGCCTGAAACCCCAGAGAGTGCCAAACTTGACTGCCATTAGTGGGAGCATGTTTCTATTTGCCTTCCACCCCCACAGATTTAACGCCTTTTTCATCTTAGTACTGCTGCTGTAAACTTTGGCAGTTTGAGATGCGACAGCAAAACGAGTACAAGTTTCTTTCTCCTTCTTCACAATGTCGTGGATAGATGATTCCTTCTTACCATAGATCTTAGCAACTTCGGCATGTGATTTTTTTCTTTCTTGTTAAATCAAGAACTTTTACCTTTTCACTTACAGGAAGCATCTGACGGCTTCTCTTTGGCATATCTGAATTTCCAGCATCACGACTGTGCTTTGGGGCCATTGTTTATTTTATTTATTTATTTACTTATCTTTTTTCAGACAGAGTCTCGCTCTGTCGGCCAGGCTGGAGTGCAGTGGCACCATCTCAGCTCACTACAACCTCCACCTCCCAGGTTCAAGCAATTCTCTGCCTCAGCCTCCTGAGTAGCTAGAATTACAGGCACATACCACCACGCCTGGCTAATTTTTGTATTTTTAGTAGAAACGAGGTTTCACCATCTTGGCCAGGCTGGTCTTGAACTCCTGACCTCAGGTGATCCACCCACCTCGGCCTCCCAAAGTGCTAGGATTGCAGGCATGAGCCACTGCGCCCAGCCTGGGGCCATTATGAAGTAAAGTAAGAGTGACTTGAACACAAGCACTATGATCCTAACAGTCGATTTAATCACCAAGATGGTTATAAGTGACCAAGGCTGGCGGGGTGGGGAGCACAGACAGTAGGGAAAGTGAAACTGTGGATAAGGGGGTGCGTCTACCTTCTCAACGTGAGGCATTTGCCTTCATGTTAATTCTGGCCCCATTTGTTCTACACAAATGAATAGCAGGAAATCGATTTTAAACCACATGGTGGTACAATGCTTTCTTTTTTCTCCCTCATTTAACTAAAGAAGGGCTGGGCCCTAGGTGATGACTTCCTTAGCATCTAAGCAGCTGGTATCACCCCACTGCTTCTGTGCTCCACTCTCCCACGGGACCCTCCCTACCTTTAATCCCTCCTGGGCTGGAGGCTGGGTCTTCTTTGCTAGTGGTAGCTCTTTCCATGTTTTCAATCCATGGTCCGCATCCCGCTCCATTGCCTTTGCTTTTAGAGAAATAAACGTGAACATTGAGTCACTGGAAGGAATAACACATGCATCCCTCCCCCACCAGTTGGAGTAGCACTGGCTCACCTAGTGTATCTCTGGTCTAGGTCTCGAGGACCTGCTGCTCCTCCCTTACCTGTAGTTGAAGGCCTGCCTCAGCTCGGTAGGTGATATGCAGTAAGGAAATGTCCAAAGGACACGTCTTGTTGGATTACACAGCAAACATCTAATTGGCTGCAAATCTTTTTTCTTTCTTTCTTTTATTTATTTATTTATTTTGAGACGGAGTCTCGCTCTGTTGCCCAGGCTAGAGTATACTGGCGCAATCTCGGCTCACCGCAAGCTCTGCCTCCTGGGTTGACGCCTTCTCCTGCCTCAGCCTCCCGAGTAGCTGGGACTACATGCATGTGCCACTACATCCAGCTAATTTTTGTGTTTTTAGTAGACACGGGGTTTCACCATGTTGGCCAGGATGGTCTCGATCTCTTGACCTTGTGATCCACCCACCTTGGCCTCCCAAAGTGCTGGGATTACATGGCTACAAATCTTAAAGAGGGGAGCGGTGAGGAGGAAGAATCACCTTTGTCTTCTCAAAAATGTTTTCACTGGCTCACTACAGCTCCCTCCTTCCTCTTTATTGACCCGAAATGTCAACTATGATAGTAACTCTTTTGGGTTAGACGAATCCAGTGAATAAACACCTACTAAGCATTGGAGGTCCAAGAGGAATAAGATATGCCTGAGCTAAATCTCATCACCCCCGGCCTTGCTTGCAGAGTGGTTTGCTGGCCTTGTCTGATTATTCAATGAGTGCTTTCATTTGTTTATTCACTAAATATTTACTGAGCACCTACAAAAGTGCCTGGCACTGGTAGATGAGGCCTGAGGGAAGCTAAAACTAATAAGACAACCTCCATGCCCTAAAGGAATTCATGATCTAGTAGGGAGAAAATGTAAACACATAATAAAATTATAGCATATTAAACGCTGCAATAGAGTACTCTGTAAGAGTGTGGGGGCAAAGAGGAGGGGTAGAAACAGCTGCTTTCTAGAGCCCTCACCTTTTCCACTTCTCTCATCTTTTTGGGTTAGGGTCTGGGTGGGTTCCACAAGGATCGGGCCAAATGAGCTGAGAAAAACTAAGCAGACTCCTGTATCACACCTTCCTCCCAGACAAGGGGGGATAAAGAAAGGAAGATGATCAGGAGAGTTCTAAGTGGAGAGGGGGAAGCCGGGGGAGGTAACATCAGAGGGTGCACTGGCCCACTCAGCAAAGTAGGAGGCAGGGCAGCCTTGTGAAAATAGGAATGGAATAGAAAACTCAAGCAAACAGCCAAAAGCAAGGACAATTAGGGGAGGTTTCGAACTGGCAGATCTACCTCAACTGGCAATACAGCAAGTGTGCACCAGAAAAGATATCCTAGCTAGCAGTGGGGTTGGGAACTGATTTAATATCCTAGGCTAGCAGTGGGGTTGGGAACTGATTTATTATTTAATGTTTTATATTTATTTACATATATATGTACTTATTTATTTATTTTTGAGATAGGCTCTTGCTCTGTCACCCAGGCTAGAGTGCAGTGATGTGATCTAGGCTCACTGCAGCTTTGACCTCCTGGGCTCAAGTGATCCTCCCACCTCAGCCTCCCGAGTAACTGGGACTAAAATTGCGCCACCACCCTAGGCTAATTTTTGTATTTTTTTGTTAGAGACAGGGTTTCACCATATTGCCCAGGCTGGTCTCAAACTCCTGGGCTCAAGCAATCCATCTGTCTTGGCCTCCCAAAGTGCTGGGATTACAGGCATGAGACACTGCACCTAGCCAGTATTTTTTAAAAATTGGAAATCCCTTGTAATAAGCCAAGTGTTGGGGGAAGAAGAGCAATAAAAGCAATGACATGGACTCAATATGAAACATCCAAAGCATCTGACACGTCTTTAAAATAAAAAAATCAGTACTCACCTTGTGCTCATTTCACACTGTGGATTTCCTTGGTCTAAAATTTAAAAAAACAAAAAACAGCACTCTCAACTTTAAGCTAATTTGAATTGATTTTTAAATACACATATATGCATACAGAGAATACTATAAAAATATATAAAGGTGTATAGGTCTTGATCTTATTTTCCCAGGAATTCAGAAAACGTTGCTGCAGTCCCTGGGCTCACGTGGTCCTGGCATCCTCCCCCACGTCTCTAGCCCATCCTGCTGAGTTTCCTGCATGCATTGATTCTGGGTCCATCCAAGTTTCTACAGTTAACTCCATTAATACTGAATTAAAGAATAAACAGTGTACTCATCAAATGCTGATTTTTTCCATGTGAGCCCAAATTATGTGACTTGATGAGGGAAAAAATCATGAGTCCCTGGGAGAGCGATAAGAATCACACTCTTTACTAAAGTGTTGTCCCAGGTATGAGCATAACACCAGATCTCAACCTCCAGTGGCCCCCCACTGCCTCCCATGGCATAAAAGCCAAATTCCTTGGCCTGATATTTGAGGCCATCTCAGTCTTTTTCCTTCCACCCTATCCTTGACTCTCCCAGACTAGGCTCCAGATCATCACTGAATGTGCTCACTTCAAAGCAGCTCTGTGATTTTCAAGGTTCCTGGGCCTACCTTTTACTACCGATGTGACTGGCACGTGTTGCCCAGTTGCTAGGATGGGATCATAGCCTTGATTTCTGCCAGGACTGGGGCTTTGCCTTGTATCCCACCCACAGCACTACCTGCTCCTGCATCCTTCTGGGTGGGGCCTGACCTTTCCCCGCAGTCTCCCTACACCTCCCGATCATAGGTAGTCATGCCACAGCTGAGGAGCTTGTCCCAAACCTCAGTGCCTGCCTCCCTCCTCAGCTTCTTGTGCTGCTCTATCTCACCCATCAGTGACACGCTTCTCTTCCCTGCCCAAGCCCTAGCTGACTCCATAACACCTGGGTACAATGTCCTCTTCTGCCTGGTTATCTCTGAGAGGCCCTCTCTCTAAATCCCTCATTGGCTTCCACTGTCCTTCCTCTCACCCATGGCCCTGAGGTCACTCTATGCTCTCTATGCTTTGGCCAGTGTATAGGGTTATTATGCTTAACAATCCACAAAGGTTGAAAGGTGTTGTAGGATGGATGGTGTAAAAATGAATCTAGAAGATAATGTTTATATGTCAGAGGTTTGTAAAGTGCTCAGCAGGCATAAGGTACTGACAGTCCTGATATTCCTGATCTTGGAACCTGGGACACCATCTTCTCAACATTGCTTGGATACCCTCAAGGGTATCCAGAGAGCCTGAGTCTGCATTCTGCTCCTGGTTCAGCCCAGGGCCCTGGTTCCCACTCACTCACCATCCACTGTGGGCCCTCTCTGAATTCTTAGAGCCCTTGCCATTTGCATCACTCACAGAGACATTTCATCAGACCCTACTTGGTGTACTAGGCTCAGGAGACTCCATTCTGCTGCGGATAAGTTGTGTAAAATTGACCCTCTGCTTGCACATCTGTAAAAGGAAGGGGCTGGTACAACACCACTGGGCCTCTCAGTTCAGTAGTGTTTTTCTTTTTATCTAAACCACAGGCTGGGGCCTGGTTTTGCTTCTTATCTAGATTTTTGCATTCCTGTCACAACCTAGAGAGCACAGTGCAGGTCTTAAGGAGGGCTTGAGAAATCTCTTTCTGAATTGTCAACTGAATAAATGTCATATCTTCATAACAAACTTGTCTTTTTCTGCAGGGCCAGGAAGGCAGCAGGGAAGTCAGTTAGAATTTAAATTTTAGATTAAGCTTAATATTGTTAAGAAGTCAATTCTCACCAAATTGGTCTAGAGGTTTTACATAATCCTAATCAAAATCTCAATTAGTTTTTTTGAGAAGTTGACAAGCAGATTCTAAAATATATATAGAAGTATAAAGGACAGAGAATAATCAAAACAACTTTAAAAAGGAAGAACAAAATTAGAGGACTCTAACTACCTCATTTTAAGACTTATTAGAAAGCAGCAGTAATCAAGATAGTGAGGGACTGATGTCAAGGACTTATCAGAAAGCAGCAGTAACCAAGATAGTGAGGGACTGATGTCAAGGTAGACAAATAAATCAATGGAAATGAATCAGGCATCCAGAAATAGATGCACCTACATAAATAGTCAGTTGGAGAAAGAATAGTGTTTTTAACAACTGGCAATGGAAAAACTAGAACAACAACATGCAAAGGACTGAACTTTGATCCATACCTCACACCACATACAAATCAAAAACAGAAACAAACAAACCAACACCCAAAATGGATCAGTGACCTAAATGTAAAACTATAAAACTTCTGGAAGAAAACATAGGGAGGAAATCTTTATGGCGTTTGGATAGTGATTTCTTAGGCAGGACACCAAAAGCATGATCCATACAATTTTAAAATTAAATATTATAAGAATTAAAGTCTTTTGCTCTTCAAAAGTTACTCTTAGGAGAAAAATATGCCACACACTAAAAGAAAATATTTACAAAGCATTAAAAGGACATGTATCTAGGATATACATAAAAATTCTCAAAACTCAATAATAAGAAAACAATGAGCAAAAGATTTGAACAGACACTTCACCAAAGAAGATATAAAGATGGCAAAGCAGCACATAAAGAGATGCTCAACCATTAGTTACTAGAGAAAAGCAAATTAAAACCTTAATGACATACCACTATGCCCCTATTAGAAATCTGAAAATTTTAAAGACTGACAATACCAAGAATTGGCGAGGACATGGCACAAGTGGAATTCTCGTACATTACTATGGGAATGGAAGATGGTATAATCACTTTGGAAAGTAATTAGAAATTTCCTAAAAATTAAACATACACCTACCATATGGCCAAACCATTATACTCTTAGGTATTTACCTAAGAGAAATAAAAACGCATGTCCACAGTAAGACTTGTACTTGCATGTTCATAGCAGCATTATTCAAAATGGCCCCAAAGCAGACACAAATTGGATGTTCATTAACAAGTAAATAGATAAAGAAAATGGGGTCTAGCCAAACAATGAAATACTACTCAGCAACAACCAAAATATGTACTATTGTTTACAAAATGCAACATAGACGAATCTCAGAATAAATAAGCCAAGGAGAGAAGCCAGACCAAAAAAAAGTACATACTGTATTATCTCTTATGAAATTCTAGAAAATGCAGACTAACCTCTAGTGACAGAAAGGAGATCGGTCATCACCTGGGGTGGGTGAGGGAGGGGCAGGAGGAAGGGAATGCAAAGGAGTGTGAACAAACCTTTGCGGATGATAGGCATGTTCATTATCCTGACTGTGGTGATGCCTTACAGATATATACAGATGTCAAAACTTATCAAATTGTACACTTTAAATATGTGTGGTTTATCGTGTCATTATACCTCAGTAAAGGAGTTTTAAAAATTACAGTAAAAAGTCTCTACCTAGAAACCTTAATAAGCTAAAATGTATGTCGCCAGGACTAACCCTAGCTATTCTATAGTTCTGGGGTGGAACCAGAAATCTGCATTTGTAGCAAGCCCTTCAAATAATTTGAATGCAGGTGGTCCTTAAACCACCTTTTGAGAAACACTGACCTAGTGAGTAAGGATTTCTAAACAAGCTTGTGACTAGAATGTTGTTTCTGCAGGAAACAAGTAATTTTTTCTACTAGTGTTACCATATCATTCCGTGTTAAGCCTCTAGGACACTTCTATTCAATTACCACAACATATATTTAACATAATATTAATAGTTGTAAAACAAAAGCAAATCATAGTTTTTCCCATCTTATTTTTATACAAAGTAAAATCAATGATATAATCTTGTTACTGGTTCTTGGCAGTTACCTACAGTTTAAATCAAGAGCTTATGTTGCTTGGTTTTTGTGACAGAAAACTGATGTGGTGGCTTCCCAGTTACACTACTTGGTTTATCTTTTCCCTTATCTTATGATGCACACCCCTTGCACATTCCTGAGCAGCTGATGATCACAGAAGACCTAGAAAAAGTGTGAGCTAGTTGCATTCCTGCTATCTCTAAAGACAAAGGTTATCTTTTCATTTTTACGTGATTTTTCTTACCCAAAATGCAAACCACTGCCAGTATAAATGATGGAAGATAGACTTTCCACATGAGACTGACATTTCTTCACCCTAGTAACATTACCTGAGGGGAACATCAGAACTCAATTGATAAAGTTTGCTGTGGATTTTCCCACCAAATATCCCTACTATTATGAGAATTGGTTCAAAAACAAAACAAAACAAAAAAACAAAATGAAAGGATAAAGCCTACTTAAAGATGATTTTTACTTGCTGAAAGGAGTACAGCATGTGACATCAGTCAAAATGGTGGAGAAAAAAACCCTCCCCAAATTCTCTTCTTTGTGAAAGCATGGAAAAAACTGGCCAAAAATGGTCAGAAAATTTATTTTCAGAACACTGGAAATTTTTTTTCCTTTTTAAAAATGTTTTATTATACTTTAAGTTCTAGCATACATGTGCACAACGTGCAGGTTTGTTACATATGTATATATGTGCCATGTTGGTGTGCTGCACCCATTAACTCATCATTTACATTAGGTATATCTCCTAATGCTATCCCTTCCACTTCCCCCTAACCCACGACAGGCCCCAGTGTGTGATGTTCCCCTTCCTGTGTCCAATTGTTCTCATTGTTCAATTCCCACCTACGAGTGAGAACATGTGGTGTTTGGTTTTCTGTTCTTGCGATAGTTGGTTCAGAATGATGGTTTCCAACTTCATCCATGTCCCTACAAAGGACACGAACTCATTCTTTTTTATGGCTGCATAGTATTCCATGGTGTATATGTGCCACATTTTCTTAATCCAGTCTATCATTGATAGGCATTTGGGTTGGTTCTAAGTCTTTGCT